GTTCATCCAGATCGACACCTTGTTATCTCAGATTCTCCAGCATCTGCAGTTCCTACTGTCTCAGAACCTACATCTTGTTCTTCTGATCTAAGACCCTCTGTCACTAATATATTGATGTCATCTCCTATTATCTCACTACACAACCTCCATTTCATTTTTGCCTGTTCTTCCTAAATGTCAAACATTCTTTAATATTCAGTTTCTCACCTTGGCCAAACTGCAGCCATATCTTTGGAATGGCAATTAGATCATACCCATTTACTTCTACTTATGTCGTTAATCAATCTACCTAATGCATATGGTAAGCTCTATCTGGACAAAGGTGTAAATTAGATCAATATCCAATTAATCTCTTTGTGGTGGAAATGTTAACAAAATTACTCCGAGAACACTCCGTTTAACCAGTGATATTCTGAGTTCTTTCACATCCAGTCAAGAAGACAGAACGCAACTGCATTGAATATTATGTATAGAAAAAAAATACACTTTGCTACGTTAGGACATGGAATGACTGGCTATTAACACTGTGTGAATAACTATGTTACAAGGACTAAAATGCTTCAAGAAGGCCACATTTTTACCTTCTCAAGGGCAGTTAGGTTTGGGAAATAAATGTTCTGTCTTTTCACCAACATCTGCATCACGGGCATTTTCAAAAAAAAACATCAAAGCCTCAGCCTAGTGGTTAAGTCATGGGGTTAGAACATAGAACATAGAACACAAAACAGCACAGCACAGTACAGGCCCTTCGGCCCACGATGTTGTGCCGAATTTTTACCCTAAACCGAATGTCTATCCAACCTTCACCCCTACCTTACACTATCGTCCATATGCCTGTCCAATAGTCGCTTAAATGCCCCTAATGAGGCCGACTCCACTACCCTCTCCGGCAATGCATTCAATGCCCCTACCACTCTCTGAGTAAAGAACCTACCTCTGACGTCTCCCCTATATCTACCTCCACTCACTTTAAAACTATGCCCCCTCATAATAGCTACCTTCACCCAAGGAAAAAGTCTCTGGCTGTCCACTCTATCTGTACCTCTGATCATTTTGTACACCTCTATCAAGTCACCTCTCATCCTTCGTCGTTCCAAAGAGAAAAGCCCTAGCTCTCTCAACCTTTCCTCGTAAGACCTTCCCTCCATTCCAGGCAACATCCTGGTAAATCTCCTCTGCACCTTTTCCAACACTTCCACATCTTTCCTGTAATGAGGCGACCAGAACTGGACACAATACTCCAGATGTGGCCAAACCAGGCTTTTGTATAGCTGGAGCATAACTTCATGGCTCTTGAACTCAATCCCTCTATTAATGAAAGCTAACACATCATACGCCTTCTTAACAAATCTATCCAACTAGGTGGCAAATTTCAGGGAACTGTGGACATGAACCCCAAGATCCCTCTGCTCCTCCACACGGCCAAGAATCTTTCCGTTAACCCTGTATTCTGCTTTCAAATTTGTCCTTCCAACATGAATCACTTCATACTTTTCAGGGTTAAACTCCATCTGCCACTTCTCAGCTCAGCTCTGCATCCTATCAATGTCCCTTTGTAATCTAGAATAGCCCTCCGCACTATCCACAACTCGACCCACCTTTGTATCGTCCGCGAACTTACTAATCCACCCTTCCACTCCTTCATCCAAATCATTTACAAAAATCACAAATAGAAGAGGACCCATAACTGATCCTTGTGGTACACCACTCGTAACTGAGCACCACGTTGAATATTTTCTGTCCACTACCATCCTTTGTCTTCTAAGGGTCAGCCAATTCTGAATCCAATCTGCCACATTTCCCCCTATCCCATGCCTCCTTACTTTCTGCATGAGCCTACCAGGGGAACCTTATCAAACACCTTACTTAAATCCATGTATACCACATCCACTGCTCTACCTTCATCCATGTGTTTGGTCACCTCTTCAAAGAATTCAATAATGCTGGTGAGGCATGATCTACCCCTCACAAATCCATGCTGACTATCACGAATCAGACTGTGCCTATCCAAGTGATCATAAATCCTATCTCTCAGAGCCCTTTCCAATAATTTGCCCACCACTGAAGTAAGACTAACTGGCCTGTAATTTCCGGGGTTATCCCATTCCCTTTTTTGAACAAGGGAATGACATTTGCCACTCTCCAATCTTACGGCACTGTACCCATGGACAGTGAGGATGAAAAGATCATTGCCAAAGGCCCTGCGATCTCTTCTCTCACTTCCCATAGAATCCTTGGATAAATCCCATCAGGCCCAGGGGATTTATCTATCTTCAAGTTCCTAGAAATTCCTAGTACATCTTCCTTACTAACATCCACCTCCTCTAGCCTACCAGCCTGTTTCACACTGTCCTCCCCTACAACTAGGTCCCTCTCAAATGGTTGGTCTTGAATCTTCCAACTTTCTGACTCAAAATGCAAAAGTACAATTGCTGAAACAAAATCATAAATACATGGAGAGCAAATATAGTAGCAACAGAAAATGTAATCCCCCACTGCCTCAGCATCACTATTGCTAATTTCCTGAAATAAAATGTTGCATTTAATTATTTCGACTACACGACAACAGTATAAGTACGTTATTGTGTGAAGGACCTTGAAACATTTCAATGAAATAAGGCACCATGTAATCAAGGAAATATAGCTTTTTTTAAATTCATGGCTAATTAACAATCAGTTTGAGAGAATTGCATCAAATAATGTGGGGAGTTAGAAATACTCTTCGATTAGACAGGCCGATGTTAAAGGTTAGGGATTGAAAAACTGGATATTGTTGTTGCCACTCATTGATTACAAACAGTAGGAGGCAACACAGAGGCTTCAAGGTAAAATGTAGACCTAGAAAATGCTGGAAACACTCCACAAGTTAAGCAAGAACTGTCAACATGTCAAGTTGCATTTGCAGACTTTTTGCCAAGACTGGAAAATGACAGCGAAGAATAGCTTCCTAAAGTGAACAGAACAATAGGAAGCATGTTAGGAGGGGAGAAAGAGAAACACACAAAAACACTTAAAAAAACAAGCCATGTACAGAGTGGGAGATTGAACTCAGTAGTTTGACTCCCTTGAAACTCATAACATCTGAAGGGACTGAAAAAGGAAATTAATAAAATATGTGTATGATTGATAATTGTTGGTACATTTTGTAACAAACTAGTGTTTTATTCCATACGCTTAATAATTATTCATTTGAATTTTACTCCTTGTAATATTTAAATTTTGCCCACTGTACATGAACTAAAATGTCACTACATAAATAGACATTCATTGACATAACGGGCACAATCGGAAGGAGTAATGGCTATCATATTGCGTCAGTTAGCAGATGTTCTTTTAAGATCAAATCCCACAGAGTTGTGCATTTAAATAGAAAGAACATCTATTGTTACTTATTTACAATGTTCAAAGTGATTGAAAATCAATAAAATAGTTTAAAAGTGTAAATGTTGTAATAGTCAAACAATTTGAAGCCCCACAAAGAGCAATGAGGTATATAATGGTGTACTCTGCTTTAATAGTTTTGGCTGAGAATTTAATACTTGTCAAGATGTCTCCTGCGCTCTTCCCTAAATAGCAATGTGGGATATTTTATGTTTATTTGAACAGAACAATAATGTCTCAATTTAACATCTTATCTGAGAAAAGAGTTTTGACAACAGGGCACCATGCCTCACTGCTGCATTGGTACATCAGTTCAGGTTATGTACTTAAAGTTTTTCCTCTGAATTAGAGTCATAGACACAACCACTGGACTAAGTTGGCTAATATAAATTTATCATTTATTTTTTCATATCAGAAACACATGAACAAGGAAGCTGTTGACTGTTTCAAACTCCAAACAGTTCACTTGTATCCAATTCAGTATGACCTGTTCTGGCCTCTATGTCACACTAAATTACATTGCATCATTGACTTTCAACATCTTGAGAAATGGTTTAGTGGCCAGTTGCAAGACAGCTAGCAATGAGATATTAGCATGGTGTTACAGGAGACTTATTGACCATATACTGAACTGGAGCAGCTATAACAACACCATAGCCATTATCTAGCTAGATGAGACTCTGTTCTAATGTTACAATGCTTAAGAACATCTATGATAGTGCAGTTTGCTTCATTACTCCCTTGTACATTCTCTCCCTCAATCTCCCAGAAATGTTACCCAGATTGAACAATGGCAGAAACATTAAAGGAATACCCTCATCATCAAGTTACTCTTCAGGTCATGTACCATTTGACTTGGACAAGTATCATCACCATGATTACATCTGGTTCAAAGTCCTAGATCAGATTTCAGCAGTGAATCAGAGAGCAGGGTAGTTACCATATTTTCAGAGTAGTTATGTAAGGACAATAAATGTGACCTTGTCAGTGTAACTAACAACCTGAGAAGAAATAACAAAAATATTTGATTCAATTTGCATATCTGCTTTGTGTTTTTGTTATCGTTTCTGAAGTTAGAGGCAAACCTTCAGGGAAGAATAATTTAAGCTGTCATCCATCCTGGTTTTATTGTCACACAGATTTACAAATGTGCATTTAATCATTTCAGAATGCTATGATCCTTTGTAATATATTCTTTGCAATTTACAATGATTGATATTACTGTTTTGTAATTCTGGGGTACTGTGTATAAAATATCATTTTGAATTCTGTACTTTAATTTACACATATTGTTCTAGCTTAGTGGCAGTTTATTGAGTCTATACAGCGATGCTGGAGATTTTGGAGAAGTTCCAATTCAGGGAGCCGTACAATTCAAATTGCACTATGAAGAAGCTAAAAAAGAATTCCAGATCCATGTGGTGCAGTGCCGAGGATTGGCAGTAGCTAACATGAGAAAGTACACCTCTGATCCGTAAGTAAACTCTTGTCTTGACTTTGTTTTAAAGAACTAAATTATTGCAAGCAATTTAATCAGTTAATTGAAAATTGGTTTAAACTGCAGAAGATAGTACATTATAATGAATAAAGTGTATAAACAACTAAAAGGTTTAGATTTAGCTTTCTTGGTTGGAGAACAAATTCTATTTTACTTTGATATAACTAATGTATATGCAGTTGATGTGTTTTATTAGAAACAGACATATTTTGGAAGGCAGATGATAAAAGCAATGGCTTGATTATTTCAGCCCCATCTGCTAAACAGCATGTTATTTCTGTTCATTCAGCAGATTAAAAGTTCTCTGATTGTGATTGCTAGTTTTACTACTTTCCTGACCAGCTCTGTGAAATATAAGAAATTTTCAAAATTCGGTATACATGCTGCAGTGTGAACAAGTCACAATACATACTCTTCAAATAAAATTACACCCAATATCAATTTACAATTTTGGTACAAAATATCATATGATAATTTATTGGGATGATATCAGATTTTGAAATTAAAAAGAATTCTTAAATTGAAATGTGACATCTGTCAAAGCAATGTGGCTATGGCACATCTGTGTTATGTAACGTTTCAAAGAGGAGTAGTCCTGATAGGAAAAGATGACATTAGATAATAAAGAGAAAGGATCTTGGCTCAGAAAATCAGGAACTAGAACCAGTATGGTTAGAGATTAGGATAAATGTGGTGGGAGAAGTTACACCATTAGATTGAGCATCAAATTAAAAATAAAAAAAGGTTTCAACAAGTGCAATATGATAATTGTAGGGAACTTTAATCTTCATGCAGACTGGAGAGTCAAAACTGGCAAAAGTAGTCTGGAACACAAGTAGAATGACTCCATGACAATTTCCTGGAATAATGAGTTGTGGAGGCCAACTAACAATAAGACTTCTATGACCGTAAGGAACAGGAGTAGGCCATGTGGCTCCTTCAGCCTGCTGTGCCATTCTTTAGGGTCATGGCTGATCTGAGATTCCTCACATCCACAACATTGATTGCCCTACTGATCAAGGATCTATCTATCTCAGCTTTGAATATACACAAGGACTCTCTCTGGCACCCTTTACTCTGAGACTATGCCCACTGGTCCTAGACTCTCCCATGAGGGGGAACATCCTCTCAGAATTTATCTTGTCAAGTCCTTTAAAAAATCCTATATGCCTCAATGAGATTGGTTCTCATTCTTCTAAACTCCAATGAGTAGATTCCCAACCTGTGTAACCTTTGTTCATAAGACAATCCTTCCATACTAGGGATCACCCTCTCGAACATTCATTGAACTGCCTCCAATGAAATGATATCTTTCCTTAAATAAGGAGACCAAAACTGCTCACAGAAATCCAGATGTGGTCTCACCAGCACCTTTTAAAGTTGCAGTAAGATTTCCCTACTCTAATGCTTGGATCCCCTTGAAGTAAGGGCCAACATTCCATTAGCCTTCCTGCTTACCTGCTGCACCTGTGTGTGAGGATTTTGGTTCGTGCGCAAGTACCCCCAAATTCCTTTGTGTTGCAGCTTTCTGCTGTTTGTTCTCCATCTAAACAATACAATGCCTTTGTTCTCTCTTCCAAATAACAACTTCACATTTACCTACATTGTACTCCATTTGCCAACTTTTTGCCCACTTACTTAACCTACCTATATCTCTCTAAACAATTGTATCCCTCTTGCCACTTACCTTTCCACCTATGTTTGTGTCATGTGCAAATTTGGTGAGAGTACATTTGCTTCCTTCCTCAAAGTCATTAACATATGTTGTAGACAGTAATCTCTGTGGAACCCCATTAGTTACAGGTCATCAACCTGAAAAAGAATCCCTATCACCACCTGCTGTTTCCTGCTCATTAATCAGTTCTGCACGCCAGTATACTACTTTCAACACCATGAGCTTTATTTTATGACTTAACCTTTTGTGATGTACCTTTTGAAACACCTTCTGGAAGTCCAAATACAACATGTCTCCTGGTTCCCCTCTATCCATTCTGAGACTTTTTTTAAAATTCATCTTTGGGATGTGGGCGTCACTGGCTGGCCAACATTTATTGCCCAACCCTAGTTGTCCTTGAGAAGGTGGTGGTGAGCTGTTTTGCTGGCTGTGCTTGATTAGATTATGATTTTCGAAATGTGCTGATGTTACTTCCCTAATAATTGATTCCAACATGTTATGGACCAGACCAAACCCCCTTCAAATATATCAAATATGTTATTTAAAAGAAAGGGTAGGGTGCTGTGTTCCAGATATATTTAAATCGGTTACACTACTCAGCTTTAAGCAAAACACACTTTATTTTTTACTGTACAGTTAAAAAGCAATCAAAAGAAAGAAGAATTGGTCTATTTTTAACTCTAATGGAAAATTAACAGAATAATAGATTATTTAACTACTAAACAACAACTGTTCCAATATAGTAACATCCCATTAACACAGTATTCAGTGAAATAGATAGTCTCACATGCAATATTTCTCCAGTCCAGGAGGAAAGAACATCAAGAGAAAATTCTGGCAGAGAGAGAGCGTGAGAAGGGAGAGATGTACAGCAGCTTCAAAACCCCAACAACTACTTAAAGTTAAACTAAAACCATGGTTCTGTGGGAGCCTAACTCCAGCCATTCATACTGCTTCTATTGGTCCAACTTTAAAAAAATACCCAAGGCCTCACAAGCTGATAATGTTATTGGCTTGGAAAAGACCACAGAGCACCGCTGTCTCAACCTCTCCTAATAAAAAAAGAACACAATATACCTCTTAAAGCAATAGTGTCATCACACTAAATGGGGCATATGATATTACAAAGAATATCTGTACGTCTGCAAATTGGGAATGATTTGCAAATGAGTAAATTGTGGCAACCATAGTCGATAACAGGAGAAAAACAGAATGATAGTAAACTAGGAAAATAAACGAGTAGATTCTGTGAACATTTAGGAATATATGCAAAAGAGGAAAAAATATACAATGGTCACTTAGAAGCAGAAACAGGTAAAAGTATAAAGGAAAATGAGGAAGTGGCAGAAATGTTGGGAAAATGTTTTGTCTCTGTCTTAACAGTAGAGTACATAAATTATATACCAGAAATAGTTGGTAACAAGGGGATAATATGTGTAAAGAACCTAAGGCAATTAGTATCAGCAGTCTCAACATATGGAAAGCATGAGTAGAAAATGCTGACTGGCTAATGATGCTAACATCATTGTAATGAAACGTATCATCGAAACCAAGCAATCCACTCTCATTAACTATAGGAAGGATCTAAGCAAAAAGACTCTGAATGTACAATGCACCAATCAGAGCAAGATCAGGCAGTCTCTAGGTGCTACACAAAAGACTAGTGGTTACAATTCTTTTAGAATATCCAGAAGTCATTTAATACATGTTGGTGGCATGTATGATGGGATCAAGAAGGGAACATATCCATCAGCAAAGGAAACAGCTCTATGAGAAGCTACCATACATTGAGACCTGAAAAGGGATTATACATTTTGCTACTGTTGAAAATACCATTCAAAAAAAACAATTGTGGTGTCAGGTTAAGTCTAATTCCTGAACGACCCTAAGTTTATTTAAATCACATAGCCTTTATTCCTATAAAAGCTAAGCATTGTGAATGCTGCAGATTTGAAATAAAAGAGAAAATGTTGGAGAAAGTCAGCAGGTTGACAGCAACTGTGGAGAGACAGAGTTAATATCTTGAGTCCAATATGAGCCATATTAGCTGTGGAACATTAACTCTGGGTGGACTTTTCCAAGCCCCTGATCAACATGGGTAATGGCGAATCAGTTGGGAATATATTGTGAGAATGGTAGAATGAGATTCTCATCATCAGGGCAAAAAAAGTTTCCTTTTCCATGCAAAGTTTTAGCAACCAGCTGACAATGTCACTAGTGAAGAATGAGGCATCAGCTTCTCATTATCAGCAAATCTCACCTATTTTCCCATACAGTGGAGAGAAACTAGTTGGCACTATTTCCAGACACAACACTCTAAGACAGTGCAACTTCTTGATATCTTCTCCATGGGTTGGGTTTGCTTCCCCCAATATCTCCATGGGCAGCTACTACCTGGCAGCCCCTCCACAGATGTTGGCATCGAACAAGCACCAGCCTCATCCCATCATTGTGGCACACCTTGGTCTTACTTCTAGTAAATCACCAACTCAATACTGCATTTTGGAGCTCACTGCTATTGTAAATATACTGCTAGGACACTTTGCATTCAGGAACAGTCACCCAGTTCATGCACTAGAATAGACTGTGGACTGTTAGCTTGCACTCTTGCTGGTCAATGACTTTGTGCCTTCTTGAATGCTAACAGTGTCTCTGCCTTGCATTTTTGTGCATTGCTGCTTCATTCATAGCAGAATTCTAATGTTTGCAAAATCACGAGAGCAGGACACTGCTGCTGCTCATAAAAGGATCAACTCTAAGAGGGCACAGATTTGCAAATGTAGCATATATGATGTAAGGAAAAAGTACTATTTCATACAATTGGTTCAGATTCCAAAATGCACCTGGAAATGAGGCAGAGTAGTTGAGACATTCAAGAGGAAATTGTGTGATTATTTGAATAGAAATAATGTGGAGGGGTGTGGGGAAAAGTCGGGCGAATGCCACTATGTCATAATAATGCTCTTTGGAGAGCTGGTGCAAACACAATAGGCCAAATTCCTCCTTCTACGCTGTAACAAATCTGTGATTCCATGAATCTTATTGCACTGTTTGCTCCTGATTTATGAGGCTGAGTAAATTGTGCCCATTCTCTCTGAAGCTTAAAAGAATTTGAGGTAACCTCATTGAAGCATGCAATTTTCTGAAGGGGCTTGACAGGGAAGAAACTGAGAAATTGTTTTGTTCATATATGGAGGTCAGCTAAGTGTTTGATGTTATTTATTAAATGCTTATGACACTGTGTTGAAATTTGTTCCTTTTAGTAATTATTTTCAGTTCAAACTGATTCTTATCTCAGCTA